CAAAATGTGCTGACGACTCAGCACACTTGCAGCATATCTAAAGCCCCGTATCTTCTAATGGAAAAGGAGGAATCTTGTGATGACTCAGCAGTGGAGGGAGACGAACCGACCGGGTATTCCGGACATTTAAAGAGAGTCGACCTGAGCATTTTGGGTACTTCAAGCAAGTGTTTTCTTCTATATAAAGGGGGTTGAGGTAATCCTAAACCCTAAATTTCATTCATTCCATACACTCTTTCCTTTTGCTGATGTTGCTGCTCTCTCAGAGCAGCTCTTCTTCATCTCTTTCACATACTGACTTGAGCTCGGAGGCTCTACGCCGGAAACAATTCTGGCGTTGAGTTCGATTCAGATAGATCGGGAGCTCATTGTCACCGGTTCACTCTAGATCTGTGAGTAGACCCATCAATACATATATATATATATATATATATATATATATATATATAATGTTAATGCGGTGTTTTTGTTTTTTATTACGGACGGGCCTGATAGGCCGACCTGAAGACAAGACCGGTCCAGCTGGGTATCAAACCTGTTGACTACTAACATGGAGACCGCCCTAAAACTATTATGTATTTTTTAATTAATTTTTCTTTATATTTAGAATATAAAATTATGTATATATATTTATTTGGTAAACACTTATAATGAGATAATAATATTAATTTATTATCATGACTCTGAGGTATAATTTTTTTTTATTTTTTTTTTTGTATAATTGTAATGTGAAAATCATGCAAATTCAAATTATTTATGTTTTAAAATTTTTTACTCAAATGACTAGATAAACCGATGGTTGAACTGTTGATCTTATTAAGGCCAAGCAGAGTAAATTATCGAATTGGGTTCAGAAGCTCGTGTTAATACTTGTCAGACAAAACAATCCCCCTATATATTAATTCAAAACGTGCTGAGCCTAAGTGACTGGCTCGCATGTTACAGAATCCTATGTGGAAAAATTACATGTTTTATTATTAGGCTTGGATAGATTTTAATTTACATCCAATCCAAAAATAATTAGGTCCGAATTATCCATAAATATGTTGATTATTTAGGTCATGTTATATGTATTAATTGTATTTTAAAATAATTTCTTATTATAATCATTGAATTGTAAATGTACTTTAAAAGTTAATAAATTTTATATTTTTTATCAGTTTTACGTATATAATATATCAAATTAATCATTTTTTGATGAGCTTCGGTTTAACATCTATATTGTATGTGTAAAAAAAAAAAAATTATATTTATCTTTATAACATTAATAAAATTATTTAATATTAGTTACAAAAATAAATTTATTTATTACCTAATATATTTATATTTCAAGTAGTTATATGATATATGTTATAAAAATTACTATAACATAACACATGTAAGTCGCACAAGTAACAAATGTCATTCTAAAATATATAATAATATATATTTTTGTAAACAAGTAAATAAAATTTAAAATAATTTTTCTCATTAATTTTAAAATTTAAGAATAATGAGATGATAATGATCAAAAAATGATTTTTTTTCCCGAACCACAATCTAGATAATGAGAAAAATAAAAATAAAAATTTACTGATTACTTTTACAATTCCTAATGCATAATTTCCACCAATACACCCAACCAAACACGACTTTATGCTTTCTATCTCCATTGCCGTGATTGCAATTACAGTCCGATACTGACAAAATTGATCCCTCTTTAGCAAAATTATCCTCTCCACCTCAAATGAAATTCTAGATTAGTCTTCAATGAATTGAAGGTGGATTGAATGAATATTATAAGACCCAAAATTAGCAAAATTATCCTCTCAACCTAAAATGAAATTCTAGATTAGTTTTCAATGAATTGAAGGTGGACTGAATGAATATTTACCATAATAAAATTCTGCTCACATGAAATTCTAGAATTTTTAGAATGAAATTCTAGAATTTTTACCATAATAACTCATCGGAAATGCTCACATGCCTACGATGGGTACATGTTAACATGTCTATCGCTTATGTGGCATGCACACATTGGTGATGTTAGCATGCACACATTGATGATGTTAATATGTTAAATAAAATACATCACCAATGTGTGCATGCCACATAAGTGGTGGACATATTAACATGTGCTTACCGTGGGCATGTGACCATTTTCCCATAAATAAGACCCATAATACAAATAAAGATTACATTCATTACATAAATATGACTAGTGCGTACCCCGTGCGATGCACGGGTAAACAATATTAAATAACAATTATAAATGGGTTTCGAGTTTGAGTCACGTAAGTGAGGAATCACTATTGATACATTTTTTAAAGAGAATTATGATGTCACGTGTGAAAATTTGAGTACGCAAGGTTTCAAAAATTATTATTATTATTATTATTATTATTAGTATTATTATTACACTGAGTAATCCGTGCTATGCACGACTATAATAATATATGGAATTTATATATTTATTTATTTTTATATAGCGAAGCCTGTCTATTTTTTTTTCTTAAAAATTTGAAGTCCAATTATGTTCCACAATATAATGTACTCAACTAAACTGGTCGGGTCAAACTTAACGGGCCAATAACATATTATTGAATTGACCCAAATAAAGCCCAACCATGAAAGCAGACCGAATCATTAAGTGCGACCCAACATCTCAACCCATTATGGCTTAAAAGAATAGATCAGACAGTCTGAATTAGTCAACCGATATCTAAAAGTCAAAAATCAAAGATGCCATCTAAAAAAGTTAAAAATAGCCAAATTATTAGGGTTATGTCATTACTTCTCCTCCTCCTACCACTTTCCTTCTCTATTCTCTCTCTTATATCACTTATAGAAACTTGATAAAATATTCTTTCAAATTTTCACAAAAATGCTCTATTTTTTAAACAATCAATCACATCTATTGCGAGTCGATTTCTTATGTTAGATAGATCGATATTATATCTTGTCTTTATACTTAGAAAGATGCCTCTATTATTTTATTTCTTTTGATTGTCATATTCTTTTGTGTGTTCTAAGATTTTATGTTTGTTTTTTGATCGAAATCGATGAAAAACTGACTCTGTTATTACTATTTCGATCATTTCAAAAGATTTTATTTTGAATATCGAGACTTATGTAATGTGTTGTTCAATTATTTTGATTCATATTGCTTTTTTTTTTTGTAGATTTTAGAAATTTCGTAAGTTTAATGGACGGATCTGGAATAATTTTTTAATTTTCGGTCGAAATCCGAATTTTATTCAGTCGAAAAAAATAATGCTCGAGTTTTGAAAATAAAAGGGCTAAGAATAAATGTTGCACAATCTGTACATGTAAAAATTTAAATAAAATATTATAATATGTATATATGTTATTAAAATTATAGGTTAAAATTATAGGTTAGATAATAGTATCATATTATAAAAATTTGATCATGAGCAAAAAGAAATATTATAAAACTATTTAATTATGCATGAATCATTATATTGATTGCATAAAATTTAATGAATGATGTAATCTTTGTAATTTTAAGTGATCCTAACCACTTAAATACATAAAAAAGTATTGAAATTACTTTTATAATAATACAAATTATTATACAGTTCCGATGAATTGACTTATAACCTTGAAATCAATTAGCTATTTTTTTTTTAAAAAAAGCTTAATGGGATGCAAAAAAATTATATATATACTGATCTTATAATAAATAGTAATAAAATATTTTGTAATTTAATATTTTTTAAATTTTTAGAACTTCCATATACCATAATCAAAAAACTTTTCAGAAGGATAACCATAATCGAAATGACCACATTTTTACTAAATTTTGACATTTTTTTTTTGGGAAACAATAGAATTCATTACTAAAAAACACATAATTATAACCGGCCCAGAGTCCAAAGGGAGAACCCTACCAAAAGTAGTCTATATGACACAACACAAACACTACAAACACACAAAATACTTCTCATCGAAAGAATACACACTATTCAACGAGAGAATAGACACTCCAAAACGGAGAAAAAAAACACAGACGCACACTTACGGTACAAACGAACAAAACAACAAAAACACAACAATAACTCGATTAATGCCCTTCCCACAACAACGAAACCAAACCGAACAAAAACGACGCCGACACCCACAAGCCACCACCCACAACGACAGAGACCCGTGAAAAATATACGTAGAGAGTTTAAGGCACTCAACTTGTGTTAGAACACGATTTATAATGATTTATGTTACAACACCACAAAGTCGAAATAGCGGAAGCACAATACAATATAAAAACTCTTCAGGGAGCATCCCACTATTCCTCAGAGCTCTTTCATTGATAACTCGATTGTGCACAAGTGTATGGTTTTGGACATACAAAAACAAGAACTCCCTTCTACCCTAGCCACAACTACACTCGAATATGTCAACCAACTACTTCGCTGGCCACTTCCCTTGGACTTAAACACTTTCGATTACCTCGAGCAAAACTCAGTACTTAATCTCTAATTACTAATCGCAAAAGTGTTTGAATAAAATAAACAGAACTAACTCAAAACAACTTCAGTGTTTAGACGCTATAAGAACATCAAAACACTGAACTGCGTACTAAAAGGAAAAATAAAGAAAAACTTGAATTCTCAATTGAAGCTTGAATGCTATGAATAATGGGAATTTCAGTAACCTTCAATTGATCTTCAAGTAGAGTTTATATAGCATCCTTAGGTGTGTGCTTCTTTTCCAAGTTCTTTCCTTCCTGCGCGATTTCCTTCCCAAAGCTGCGATTGTCATCATGGAAAGTGAATATCTTCTTTGATCTCTATTCAATGCGTCCCTTTCCGTCCTGCCATGCACATTGATATCCACCCAACCGTTGTCCTCCGAATCCAACCACCTATCCACCTTCCTCTCCGTCCATCCAAGCTAGCTGCACACTCCGGCTGTCGCCGCCGTCCAAATCCCAACGTCGTCTTCTTCCTCCATCCCCTGGTCCAGATCCATGCCTTCCAAATCCCGCCGCCACCATCGTCTTATCTCACAGTCACCCCGTCAAATCCCGTCATCGCCGGCGCCTCCTCCAGATCCCGCCGCCGGATTGATAGTCGCTGGGAGAGCATATCACACGCCAATTACAAAATCACAGAGCACATACCATTGGGTTAATTGGAGTGTGGATTTTGAGAATCCAATCTCACAATTTCTGAATTTCACGAAATCAATTGGGAATTTTGTGGGCTGTATTTTGAAATTTTTATAAGTCTCAAGGACGTATATGCAATTTTAGTAGTTTTAACTATATTGCAGTTTAGTTCATGGGTTGAATATGTAATTTATTAAAATTTCATAAAATCTAAATACTGATAAATAAAATGCTTGTTAATTCATATGGATATGTAAATCTAATAAAACCAGAATATTGATAAATAAATTGTACAATATGTCTATGATATGCATATGAAAACTAATTTTTTTATAATATAAATAATAAAATATTTCAATTGCTTAGATAAGATGGGTTACTCAGTTCGTTGTTAGTTAGGTTTTGCACATAAAAATAACCCACACTGTAGGATGCACAATAGTTTTTAACGGGATGTACATTATTGACTGTCGAACTGCATAATAGCGTTAGACCGAATGCACATTAATTTGTTCGAGAATGCACATCAACATAACAAGCATAACAATAGTGTTAGACGAATGTACATTATTAGTAGACAAATTGCACATTAACGACTATCCCAATGCACAACAGTGAACGCAACCAAAACACTAAAAATTTCGGTTTGGAAATTTTATATTTCGATTGGGTTATTTCACTTTAAAAATGTCGATTATTTCATTTCGATGTCTGCTTATTTATTTATTTTTTAAACCTGAATAATCGAACTAACCGAACTATATAAATTAGTATTAGACTTATTATTATTATTATTATTATTATTATTATTATTATCATTATTATTATTATTATTATTATTATTATTATTATATACTGCACAATAATGTTAGACCAAATGCACATTTGTGTATATAGGAGTGCACATTATTGATTTCGATATTTTGTATATTATGTTTTTCATTCAATAATAATTTTATATTCTGATCGATTATCTGTTTTTACTTTCAATTTTAAAATGCTAAATTAAAATTTATAAATAGAAATAATATTGTAGTTCGGTTATTTTGATTAAATTAGATAATGAACCGAATAAATTGATCATTTATGTTTATTTTTAAATTAGTTTGTAATAAAAATATTCTCAGTTCAATTATTGTATGCTATAGTGCACATTAGTGACCAATGCCGTGCACAACAGTAGTATACAAATTGCACATTAATGTATCTCAGAGACTCAGACTGCACACTTGCAATCGAAATTAACGCATTTAAATTTTTCAATTCGAAACTTTATATGTTGGTTTGATTACCGTTTTTTAATTTTAAAATTTCAGTTATATTAGTTCAAAGTTGACTTTATTTTTCTTATCAATATTTATATTTATTCAGTTTTTAATAATATAGTATAAATATTTAACTCATTTATGAAATTGTATTATAATTAAAGTTCTTCAAAATACAAATTAGTCCCTATATTTTATCCAATTTGCATAAAAGAGTCCCACATCAATTTCACCCCTTTTAAGATTTCACAAACTGCAAGTCTGCAATCAATCTACATCCTCAGCCAAAAAACAAAAAATTAAACTAAAAAGTAAAAATTCTGGTTGTCCCTCTCTGCTCCGTGCAGGTCGCCGTCGTCGGGTTGAAAACAAAGCGTGTTTCTGGGTCGTAGCCACGACCCTGAGTTTCTCGACGCCGACTGTTTGAAATTTGCAGAGGCGGCTAAGATCCAATGATCTCGGCGGTGAACGGTGGCAGCTACGGGACAAATGGCGGCAACAACAGTAACGACGGCGTGCAATTGGCTATGGACGTCTCCAGAACTGGAGTGGCTCGAATGATGGATGCAGAGACCGCTGCCGGAGATGAACGAGGCGAGCTATGGATACGGCGACGGAAAACCGTAGATGATGGCGGCGGCGGCGACGGTAGTGTTGGCTATGGCGTCGAAGTCGGCGGTGGCGGATTGTGGCTGCGCCACCGCCGTGATATTGGTTCCGGCGAGCTCTGTTTGTGCGTGAGTGTGTGTTAGTGTGTGAGAGAGGGGGAGGGGGATGGGTTAGGTGACGATTTATTTGTTGGTAGATGATGGATGTAGGTGAGTTGTTATTTATATTGACCCATTTATCCTTAAATATAGGTCAAATACATATATTTGACCATAATATTACTAGTTATTTACTATGTTGCCATTAATAATTGACCATTATTTATTAAAGTTTGATTTGGTCATTACCATTGATGTGATGAATCCAATGATCTAGATTCATTCTTATTTCTTTTATTCTGGTTCATTCTCATTTGAGCGCACTATATATATATATATATATATATATGGTCGCGCTCACATGAAAATGGTTCTTAGTGAAAGAAATGAGAATAAATTATAGTCAATGGATCCGATGATCTAATGGCTAATAAAAAAGTCAAATTTATACCTTCATTAAGGGTAATGTAGTAATTTAGTGCACTACACCTAATGAGGTGGACCCCACTCCACTTTAATTAACTTGCAAATCCCAACTACTCACACACACACACACACCAATACGCACGCACGCACACACATACACACACGCACACACAGTCAGCCACCAAGCCCACCACCTTCACCACCGTCGCCGCCGCCCCGCCACCATCTCCACCCACTCCCCCGCCCGCCGGA